TCCTGTAATTTTCCGTTTGAAGTATTTGTTGCCTCTATACTCTCAGTTTTCTATACACTGAAAATACCACATTTACCAAACAATTTCTAATTAAAAATATAATAAAATTTTTAGTAAAAAATATGTATATAATTTTATTACTATGTAGTACACGTGTACTACATATGTAGAGAGAGAGAGAGAGAGAGAGAGAGAGAGAGAGAGAGAGAGAGAATATGTGGGAGTTATATTTAACAAAAATTTAATTTTTTTTTCTTTGAAGTTTTTTTCTTTTTTTTTTTCTTTGCACACTAATTACTTTTTTCTTATTTCTTCTGTTACTTTCTATATATGATTTTAATAAAATATTTTCATTGTTTATTATCAAAAACAAAAAATATCTTGCAAAATAACACATGATCCACAATTAGATAATATACCATCTATGTACAATTTACTTAGAATAATGTCATATATATCTGATAACTTGAATAAAATATTTTCTTATCAAAGGTATACATGTATCGAAATATACATAATTCAATTTAAGCAAAACATTCTTAGACCCTTATTCCTGCGAAAGAAACTATATCAGTTTGAACTGTCAAGTTAAGCATAGGTCTCTTGAGTTAAGCATAGGTCTCTTAAGAATGCAAAAAAATAACATGGGAAAAATGAAGCTTCCAGCATGTTAAGTAGGTGTCACCAAAGGTTGTCACAACATGTTTTTTGTGGCTGCATTACCACATGTGTGCGGCATTAAAGGTCAAATTACAAGATATTACAAAAAATTTCGTGAGTCTGTCTTACATCTTTCGATTTTTTTGAAATAATTAAGATGTGTGTATTAGGTTTTGACACAATGATGATTAGATTATAAGTCTACACACACGTTTGAAATACGATATTTAATAAGATGTTGTCTGTTACTGCGAGAGAAATCCTATAATGAATATTGTATTATAGGATATTATGTAATAATATATTCAACCTTGCGTGACTCTTCCAACGAACCTAAAAACCAAGATGATAAGTCACAAAGTCCGAGGTAAAGTTACGCGCCGGTTTGAGGAACTTTGTTCGTCGCAACTCATGTCTCGAGATGTGATAACTGCTTAAGTCACTAGTACGTATAATTTGCGATTACACTCTAAGAAGATGGCAGCAACGATACTTTTCAACGTAGGATCCAACAAGACGAGAAACTCGGAAAGAGAATCAGAATGGATAGAAAGTGAATCCCGATAGGATGAGAGCATCGGCCCTATGTTTTTGACAACGTGCCTAGGCCGTTCTATAACAGTCCGACGTTCCAAATCATTATGCTTCAACTATTCCCGAGGCATCGTCTCTAGGCGTCAGCCTAACCACGAGGACAGTGAGCAAAGTGCATCCGTCGTTTCGTCATCCGTGAAGTCTCGCGACCGTTCCGTTTTTGACCCGAAACGACGAACGTCTTCGTTCCTTGCGACGTGAACCACATTTTAGTCTTTCGTGCTGAATGTCCTTCCTTCCAACTGAAACTTCACTTTCTTGCTATTTTAGAGTCTTATGCAGAGAAAAAAATTCAATCGAATCAATCTAAATTTGTTGAATAAGTATGAATTTATTAACCAAACTGTATTTAGTGAATTTTAAACAATTTATAATTTCGATTAAACCAGACAAACTTAGTTAAATGCTGATTAAAGTGTTAGTCTGGTTAAAATAAACAGACAAATTTGATTAGAGTAATATGGAAAAATTTTGCTAGTTAAGTGAATATTGTCGCTCAAAGTTATCGCTAGGAGCGCTCTTGTGACTAGAATGATTCACGTTTTGCATGATGTGCTGCATAACTGTAAATAGGTTCATGGGGACTGCTCATCAAGAGTTCGTGCTGCAAAAAATGTAACTATGATACTAAGTTTATCTTGCGATTTATCAGATTTTTTTACATTCTACATGACATTAAATGTATTTTTATGACTTTAAAATATTTTGTATTTATTACTCAGGCAAGGTATTGTTTTAAAAGTTTGTCGATAATGAATCACTTTTGTCTTCAAATACTAGTTATATTATCTTTATGAATAAATCCTATTACAATATCTGATAAATAAAAATTTACCTATGTACTGGTTGAATTTTTTACCAATTTAATTTCAGTGGTATAATTTAATTTCAAATTTCCATTTTTTACATTGAAAACCATTTATACTGACATTTATAGTATTACTATGTGCATTTATATTTTTCTACAATAGATCAAGTAGTTATTTAAGTTAAATTATCAAATGTATATGATATATTATCCAAAATAAATTGTATATTAGCTCATATTAGATAGCGTATTACCCAAATGAATGCATCATATGTCACTTTGCAAAACATGTTTTGCAAATTAAAAAATTTATTTTTAATAGTAAACAATGAAAATATTTTATCGAAATTATACTATTGAAGATAACAGAAAAAGTAAGGAGAAATAAAGCTAGTACGTAAATCGTATGTGTTTACTTTGAAAAAAAAATAGGAAAAAAGCCAAATTTATGTTAAATATGGCATATTCTACCAAGTTCCTCTACACATGCACAATAGTAATAACATTTTATTTGATATTTCTTAATAAAAATTTCGTCTTTGGTTTCTAAACCAAAAGCAGACATGCGGTTTCTAACTACCATTGATATATGAAAATAAGTTCATTGATTTTTTAATACATCATGTTACACATGACAAGATAGCTTGTTGTAATTCTCCAAGAAACTTATCATGAGAACATTTATTGTCACAGTACACAAAATAAAGCGAAGAAAAAGCTAAACAGAGGATGACTATGGTATAATTTTCATATAAATGCACTTCATGGAACTTGGTTTTCAGAAGGACATTTAGAATTACAGAAATCTTATCGCTTTGTAGCATATTCTTGATGCCTCTACCGCGTCATTCATTCCTTGAAATAAAATTAAATATAACTTCAACAACCATCAAGTAATTTTCGAGAGGTACGTATTTTTTGTCCTGTATTTCGATTATACTGTATTTTGTTTTCTTGTTTTCTATTTTCTTTTTTATATTATAAATTTCTATATTGGCTGTGTATTGAATGAGTGGATAAGGTCAGCAAACAAAAAGCGAAGAAAAATGTATAGTGGAAGTGGATGAGACACAGGCCAGACAAGTAAAAATTGGCAAACGTAAATATAATGAAGGACGTCTCATCGAAGGACAACAGATATTTGGCGGTCTTGAGAGACAAATACAAAAAAAACTATTTATTGAATATGTTCCTAATCGACCGGCTAAAACTCTTTTAGAAGCCATTCAACCGTGAATATCACAACTGTGGAACTGTGGAAGCCAAGAACAATTATAATGTCAGGTTTCTGGAAAGCTTTCAATTATTTTGAAAATAATACTTACCAACACTTAACGGTAAACCATAAACGGTAAACCATAATTTTGTTGATCCGGAAATTAACGTTCATACACAAAATATTGAGCATGCATGGCGAGATATGATGATAGATGCAATAACTCGTTGAAATACGCAGTAAACATTATGTAGATTATATTGCAGAATTTTTATTTAAACATCGACTTTCTTTTCATGAACATATTTCTGAATTTTTTAAATATAATGATATATATATATATATATATATATATATATATATATATATATATATATCTGCTATAAACTGGTTTATATAAAATGTTAATAAATTGTTAGGTTATCTATAGTACATTTATTTATCGTCTCCTATTGCTTCTAAAATAAAAATATTCTTTGTTGAGTAGTAGTTGTCGAATCTTTCGCTTTACTAAATGAATAAGTCTCATATCTAAAACAGCAAATGTTGAGAAGATTACCAAAGGTTCCTATGCAAAGAATTGAATTTAGCGAATTTTACAAAAAAATATTTCAAAATAAGTCGATCAAAATCATGTCTTGCGTAGAGGCCTTTGCTAATCTTTTCAGTATCTGTTATTTTAGTATACGATGAACTTATCAATTTAATAAAACGAAAAATTTAAACATTCAATAGATTATTTGTGAACTGAATATTAATCGTATAACATATTTAATATTGATCATATAACGTATTTAAAAAAATTACCGCAGGTGCGCATAATTAAATAACAAAGAAATATAAATACGTCTTATTTTTTTTCTGTTTTTGAATACAATAACATGTATAATGTGAAATATTTGTATAAACAGAAATATTTTTTAAGGTGTTCTACACAATTCTCGCATTTTTAACATGTCTTTAACTTAAAATATCTTAACTATTCAACTGATTCAAAGCGCGTTTTACTCAGAAATTAATCCTCTCCAACATATGTCACAGTTAAAACTTTCATATTGCGTAGATTCTTTTATAGATTTATCCCTATGTAGTCATAATAATAAGATGCATGAATGTTATTACTACATACGCAGTATACAAACTCACTGGTTGGTACATCTGCTTTGGTTGCATATCAGAGAGAATATCTCGTTATAACAACTAGAAATCCTGTTTATTTTCATTAAAACCTGTTTGACCTAACATGTAATTAATTCAATCAGTTTTTTATTTTCCATGCAGGAAACCAGATAAGCTACATAAGTAACTGCAATAATCACTATAAATTATGGTCAAGAAAACCACCTTTTTTATCCAATTCCACTATAATGTTAGTGTTAATAATCTTATATGCGTGTTACTATTACCATTTTCGTATTGGAATAACCGAAAGATGTGATTGAAGCCAGAAAATAATTATAATTTTAGTTAGGTCAAGCGCATCTTTGTGTCTGAATGTATAGAAACAATTTATCAGAATTATGTCGATATATTTAATCGTCGTGCCGTCGGAGATGCGAAAAACACGAGGAACTGGAGGAAGACGAGCCTCTCTCGCGGTGCCTCGTGTTAGAGAGAGCGTGTCGTCGTCGGTGGGCAGCGGGAAGCGTATGTGTATATGGCGCAAAATCGTTCGCGTTGCACAGTCGCAGACGGTCGCGGAAAATCGAAGCGCGGCGCGACGCCGTGCCGTGCCGCCGCGGCGCGCTGCACACCGACGAAGCGCGTCCAGTGCGGCCGAAGCGACCCTAGAATCCGCGGCTTTCGTCCTGACGGAAGTAGTGCGCGACCAGTATGCATTATTCGTGTGACTCGGCAAGGAACCTAAATTCGATCGTCCCCCTCCCCCCGCGGCGACGTCGCGGCCAATGTTCTTAAAGCCGAGCAGGGAGCGGCTGTGCTGTGCGCTCATGAGTGTGTCCGCCGAGGACACCGCGTTTCCGCTCCTCCTTCATTAACTCCAGGTCCTCCTGGTTGATTGAAAATAAGTGAAGCACGATTTTCCAAGCACAGACTTGGCGGCCGGCCGGCCGGCTCCGAACTGTTAGTTGCATCTCTCGTCATTGATGAGAGATCTTTCGATAAATCGAAAATTTCGAAGTCTTCGGGGACGAAATATCGTCTGACGGGGAAATCTTTTCCTGTATCGATCTTGAGATGGTAGAGGAGTATATTCTCGTGAAAATAAATGGATTCTAGTGTATACTGTACGCCATGTGACTCTTTCATGAGATTACGTAATTTCTGTCGCTACTTCACGAGCCACCTCCCGCTTCAGTCTTTAAGTATAGATTATATGTACAAAGGTCAGCAAAACTAATTGGATAGATTATCAATGAATATATCGAATAAATAGAACGATAAAAAAACGGAATAAAAATGCCGATGAGCGAAGGAAAGCAGTGGCTTTAAGATACTCATGTGAACTTAGCCATGATTTCAGTCGAATTGTTTGAACAAAGATGATGTTCCGACAAGTAGCTTCTAAGAACTAGATAATAACTTCTGGGAGTTGGGATTACAGTGGTCCGTCAAGCGCGCTAAAGGCCAATAACTAATTAAATATTATTTTTATACTCGATATGTGAATCACGTAACACTTTCGTTGACTGAATACCGGATATCAAGTCGACAATGAAAACTAAGTGCAAGCTAATAAACACGATCTCAGGTTATAATGATTCGTTGTGTAATCTACACTCGTAGGCAATCGTCATATCTTGCAATCGTAAGTAACAGGTACACAGTGGTGCAACAAATTGCGCTTGAAGATTGCACAAAATTACATCGTTACGATACATATGTACATAAACGCATAACGTAACCAGAATTCAAATCGCCGCAAGGATTAACTCAATTTATCGAAGATATGTTCCCTTTTTTTCGTTTTCCTATACATGTTATATAAATATGTTTAATTCACGGTAATATTTGTTACACAGAGAGAACATTGCAATAAAAATTACAACAAAATTTTTGTAATATTAGATTATACATAATGAAATAGATTTTAACGAATTTTTTTCAAAGAAATAAATAAAGATATCAATATAAGGTTCTACCATGCTATTTATTGTTGTTATAAGTATAGAAATTATTTTTATATTTAAAAGAAAATTGTAAAATTCCGTCCAGGTTTTTTGAGCGCGATATCACCCGGTGCTTCTAACTGATGAACATTATAACTCATGTAATAATCTGAAGTAAATGGGAGAAAATTTAAAAAAACTATTAAATTTGCTAAAAGATGAGCCTTTGCTATATGCAGAAAGTTAAAATTTAACAAAATGGCGATATTTCGAAGTTACAAATCATTGTTTTTTTCTTTTTCATTTACTGCCTCGAGAAGAAATAGTAATTTTGAAAATTTTCTAAAGGATTTAGGTTCGCTCTCCAGTAAATTTAATACAATTTTTAAACATTCTTATTCCATTTGTTTCAGTATTGCACGAGCTATAATGTTGTCCATCAATTGGAAGCATCCGGCAACACCGCGCTCAGAAAACCTGGGTGGAATTTTAATCTTTTTTAATGATCTTTTTTAACTTAAAATAGTGATAAATAGTATAATTAAAACCTTATATTGATATTTTTACTTATTTCTTTGAAAAAATTGTGTAAAAAACTATTTTGTGGGTATTTGCAACAGAATCTTCCCTAAAAGATATTATACGTTTGATTTTTTACTACAAAATTATTGTAATTACTTGAATGTTTTTTCTATCTTATATTCAGAAAGTTATCAAACTTACTAATTCTATAATAATTTATGCTATTATAATTTCAATATAGTTCAGCTTTACAAAAGACATTGTAAAAAGGAACATAATTTTAACCTAAATTTTACTCCAATAATTTCGCCATATACAAAAATATTCGAGTAAAACAATTTTCCGTAAAATTTTTCATTCTCAGCAAAATTTTCACAAGACGTATTTAAAATAAAAGATCTATCAAACGCTCTTATTATCGAAATTACTCTGTAGGAAAATCGAAGTACCAGTAAATAATTTTTTTTACCAAATATACGCGTGGAGGAGAAACGAAGCATATTGCACTTTCATCGAAGTCGATTTATCGCTGTAGATAAATTTTCCATTAAATGTGCCGTGGGCAATTTCGATGGCATCTGCATTCGAACATTACAAGTTCGGATAACGCAACTCGACATAGGTGCTTCGAAAAAAGATTTGACAATAACCATCAAGCCTGGGTAATAGTTACTAGATACTTTGATGAAATAGTTTAAACTGAATATGTGAGTAAATATAATCAAATAATATATATTTATAATTAATATATAATATATTATAATATATTATAATAATTAATATATTAAGAAATAATCTTAGCAAGCCGTATAATATCTGTTGCTTGGTATCTCTTGCTAAAATTTGGTAACTTACCAATTTATGTGGTACATATCACCAAATAATTTGTTAAAAAAATCATATTGTTTAGTAATACTTAGCACATTATGTGATAAGTATACGAAATGTGTGACTAAATACTTTAGTAAATAATAGTTGCACTATTTAGTAATTATTACTAAATTATTTGATATTTTACTCATCAAACTATTGGTTCAAATAAATGAAGTATTTGTTTTACTAATCATTTTGTAGTAATTACCAGATGGTTGGTAATTATTACTATATTTGATATTAATTATATATACCAAATATTGCATTGAAATGCTCAACCAAATGCATTTGTTAATTATTACAAAACTTTTTTCGTGTGTGTATGTGCACTGAGAAAAAAGATTACGACGATTTAGTAATAATTGTCTAGCCTGTGTTATAGGTACTAAAATTTAATACCTATAATACAGGCTGAATAACTACTACCAAATCGTCGTAATCTTTTTTTTCAGTATGTGTAGTGTACGTCACTCATACCATAAAACAAATAACAAGAAAAATTATTTCCAACACCAAAGCCGACTTTTCGCAACGTATCTGGTATCATCGCGAGTATCGCACAATATTAAAAAGGGATAGCTACAAGATTGTCGTACTTTATTAGATTATTTACTACGATTTACTAGAAAGAATTCACAATAATTTTTTCTAGTATTTTAACAATAGACATATATAAATGTCATTTATTCAGAAATAGAAAATAAACATCTATATTATATGTTACGCGCACACGTATTTAGTAATTATTAGGACAATCACTCGAAGAAATGCAACTCGGAGAAACATAAAAGATAGAATGGAGTCGTTGAGGTTGAGGTCGGATATTTATTTATGTGAATACACATGCGTAGTGTACGTCTATTAGCACCGCAAATACCCGGGTATTCAAATGACTCTCTGGGTGACACCTTAGTCTTCGGCTGTTTGGATATCCGAGTACAAAGGATACACTCGATGCGTACCGAGACAGTACTTGCGCGCCATGCGAACGATCAATGGAATATACCATCTAGATATTAATACGCCTACGATATCTAGCCGTTTTAATGCACGGTTCACTTGAAACGCAAGCCAGGACAGAATCTGGAACGAGAATGTGATATGCGATATGTCACGTCGTACACACATACGTACACATGCATATGTAATGTAAGACGACATCTGATGTTCCGTTTTGAAAATAATTCCCATCGCGTGCAAGTGCCGCGTCCACTCCTCCTTCCACTTCTGTGCATTCCATCCTTTTTCCACTTCTCTGCATTCCATTCCATCTTTTATGTTTCTCCGAGTTGCATTTCTCCGAGTGATTGTCCTAATAATTACTAAATACGTGTGTGCGTGTGCGCGTAACATATAATATAGATGTTTATTTTCTATTTCTGAATAAATGACATTTATATATGTCTATTGTTAAAATACTAGGAAAAATTACTGTGAATTCTTTCTAGTAAATCGTAGTAAATAATCTAGTAAAGTACGACAATCTAGTAGCTATCCCTTTTTAATATTGAAAATTACGAGTGATAGAATTCATAAATTATAAGTAAAGATGGATAGATAAATAACGTTTTTTTTTTTGCTTTACATAGAGTATACAAAATAGCAAAAATGTTTATTATTAAACGTTGCAACATTGAAGGTACAGATTTACTGCTACACTATTGATCTTTAACCTACCAGTGTATTCATCTGTGACAACATCCATATCGCTTCCATTTCTGTGATTGATAAGTGTTATTTGCGACACTTATCTAGTTTAAATGCAGAATATCGTTTGCCGATTAGTAACATAAATATTCGCACACTCTCTGTGCGACGAATGTAAAGGGCAATAGATTAACAGTAGAAACATGGTGAATTAAGAAAATCGAATGCTCAACTTGAAAATATTGAATAACAATTTATCGAATAAAAATTCTTAGACAGAACTCATACAAGTGAATTGTGGTGTTCTGTAAATCTGAAAGACGAAAAAATAAGATATTAGTAGAAAAAAGAAATATAGTAGCAATAATTGATATATAATGCGTGATAATCTCTCTTCCTAAATTAATATTCTGACAAAATAATATGAATCGTGCAATATCGTTTGTAGCTTACAAGCCTGTGAACGTTAATTTCTTTTCAAAATCGTCATCGGCTATCACCGACCGACGAAAATTAGCGCCAGTTAGTAATAGTACTATAACTACGGTCCGTGAAGACATGCTCGCGCTCTTTCTATTCGCGCGAGAAAAATTCGCCGCTATTAGACGCCCTAGAAAATTGTCTGGCACAGACCACATTTAGCGACTTACTTTGTGACTTTCGTAATACAATAAACATTAAATCAAAGAGGCGATAAATTTGTCATTTATGACAACCGATAATAAAGTGCACATAAACTCAACAATGACCACGTATAAGTATCCAGAAGTCGCATTGGTGACCATAAAATATACTTTGAGACGAAGAAAATAGTGTAAAATTTACGTTAAAATTGTGTTTTCCTTTAAAATATCTTTTGTAAAGCTGAACTGTACTGAAATTGTAGTTGCTATATTACTATAAAAATAATAAATTTGACAAATATATTACCGTATATACGATATAAAAAACATTCAAGCAATTACAATAATCTTGTAGTAAAGAGTCAAATATTTGAACAGTAAAATGTATAACATTTTTTAACATATATGTAATAATTTTAATCATGATTTTGTATGATTTAAAATTACAAAAAGATTTTGTTATAATTTTTACTACAATGTTTTTTTTTTTTGTATATACTTTGTCTACATACAGAAAATATTGTAGTGAAATTTATGTTAAAATTACATTCCTTTTTTCCTTTCATTTTGTAAAACTGGACTATACTGAAATTGTAATCTAAGTTACTGTAGAAATTACAACTTTAATGATTTATCGAATATACGACATAAAATCATGCAAATAATTAGAGTAATCTTGTAGTAAAGATTACATAATCTAGTAGTAAAGAAGGTGCATAACGTTTTTAAATAAATATATAGTAATTTCAATCATAAAATTCTATATAATCCAAGAGATTACAAAAATTTTGTTAATTTTCACTGCTATATTTCCTCCGTGTAGATTCTGTAATCTCGTTGCCATGCCTTTTTCATCTTTCTTACCTTCGCTTATCTAACATCGTGTATCGAAATAATATCTCATAAGTAAACGAGAAGGATACTTATTTTCATGACTCTCATCACACGAGAAAGGAAAATATTCCACTTATTCATTATTACTCACAATTACTATCATTATTACTAGCATGCGCACATAAATCATGCGAAAGTAATGATACATCGTGTCACCATTGGTCAAAAATGATATCTGCCGTTTATTCGCGACATAATAGGAAGCGAAAATAATGCCTAAGCAGCATCCTCCGTCGTGATTTCAGATCGGCGGTAAAATTTCAGACCGTAGTCACACCCTTTAGGGTATTAAACGTCGAAGAAATCGAACGAAAAAATTGACGAGTCCTCTACACGGCTATTCGGTTCGAAAACGATCCTCGCAGCCGGTCGTCGATTAGAGATGGTCTCCTCGCCCGTTTTCTATTCTAATTCTGATGCTATTCTAGTACCAGTGGTGGCAGCCAATGGGCAACGCGTTCACCCGGCTACGTTACACTCTTTGCTCCTCGTTCTTCGCCTCTTCTTCGTGTGCACCATCAGCAACACCCCTTTCCCCGTGCCGAAGGCAGTCGCTCTCGGAGCATCGCGTGCGATAGATTAATCCTGCGTACCACCGCGCGCACCAGCTCCTCGTCGACGTGGTTCTTTATCAGCCCGCCATCACAACGACCGGCTCTCACCGTCCGATCACTCGCGTATGTGTCGGTTTGTCCGTCCACGTCGGGCTGCGATTATCCGAACCGCTCAGATAGGACAGTGCTCTTCGGCGAGAGCGGTCCTCCTGGACGAGCCGCCAGGACGATCGTCAGGATAACGGCCGCTGCAGAAAGGGTGCGCGATGCAGTGGCGTCGGCAGAAGAAGATCACCCACGTGATCGGCTCTTCGAATCATGTGCTGCTCTTAGCGAGGTACCAAGATGGTACGGAAACGACACAACGTAGGAACTGTGTGTGGATCACGCGCCGTCCTTTATTTTCTCTTGAACCGTCGTCTCTTGATATAGAAAACATGCGGATATCTAAAACGAGACAACGAGAGAATAGACTGATCTTACATTGATTAATGATGTTGGAATTCTTGGCGTATCGTTATTTTTAGCGTTTGACGACTTCGAATACACACGTCGTGTTTACGTCGCACAACGATCAATTCAAACACTTTCCGTGCGATATCGTCGATTTCACGCGAACATATTTAAAAGAGAATATAGTAGTTTGTTGAGCAAACTGTGCAAGATCGTTTCGAGCAAAGCGTAAAATACTTAAAATTTTCTGTATCCGTTTATACGTTAGACGCATACATGCGTCTGACACTTTGCAATTGCGCGTTCAGTATCCTTATGACTTAAGGACTTACAGGATCCTGACAAAAGTAAAAGATAAAATTTGTGGATTTTTGTAAAAAGTTGTAAATTAAGAGAAGTATGAATTTTTTTATTATGTGTGCTATTAACAATACTTTGGTATAAAAGAATCGAATTTTATACTGAATGTTAACACTGTGTCCATTTCAATTCTGTCCTGCAAAAGAATTATGTTTCAATGCTAAACATTCTGGCCTCAAGAGTGATTTAAAATCAGTATATAATGCATGTGTCGATATATTTTTCTTATTCATCAGGGTTATAATTATCGGTTCATGAAGCGAATTTTGAAAAAAAAAACAATATTTCACAAAATGGGAGCCATAAAAAATAAAATTTAATCTATTCACTGAAAAATTTGAGCTTGTAAAATAAATAAATAAAAAATAGTTTTGGAATTTGCGGATAAATTCTTGATATATTCACCACAAAATCTAAATTTTATACAAAAATATTATTAATAGATATACATAACAAAAAATTCATATATAATTATTAATTTATAACTTTTTACAACTTTCCAAATTTCATCTCATTTTTTACTTCTGTCGGAATCCTGTAATCTTTCAAAGGAAAACACAGTACTCTGTTAACCCTTTAAATATCATTGGTACCAATAGGGACCACTTAGGATCGGGCAGTTGAAACCTTATAAATGCTATTTAGACCATTTTTGACAATATTTCATTAAAAAAAAATTACCAGAATGAAAAAAAAGTTACTAGAATTATACGCCTTAAAGGATTAAGCAAGCTGTGAGAGATTGTTTCGAGCAAAATATAAAACACCTAACATTTTCTCTATTCGTCCATATGTTGAACGTGACTGACACTTCGCAATTACACACCCCTAGTCATATTCTGATGACTATCAACGCAAGGCACGCATGCCGACAGGTCGATTTCTTAGAATCCGTATTTGACGTCTATCACATTTTTCATTTTAAAAGGGAGGGTTTCTCAGAAGTAGCTGCAATTTTCTTTTTGAAATTCATATAAATATGCGTATAAAAAGGAAGTCATTCTTCTTTCGAAAATATTTTTATTTTTTATATGTAAATCTTAAAATAAGATCACGTAGCATTAAACAAAGATTAGTTATTTGCAATACATTTTATGAGATTTAACAAAAAAAATATATTCTTATTATTCAAAAATAATTTTCAAGAATAGAAAGCACAAAATATTGGATTGAGAATATAATGTATTTAAATGTCGGAAGACGATATCATTATCATCAAAATAAAAGTATATCAATAAGTTTGATATACTTTTTATGAGACTATTATAATATTCAAATAAAATTATAACATTGTGTGTGTATGTTGAAATTGAGGACTTTGAAATTCTTCTATTAAAATTATATATCGCTGTTTATATATGAAACAGTGATTATTAATTTGAATATATTAGTTTTAAATGGATACAATTTTTTATGCATACAGCTTTATGAGATAGCAATATTGTAGAAAAAATTCAAAAGATATCTAAGAAATATCTCGAGACTTGTGATATCATCCTTTAAAATTTTTATATCATTTCTCTAAATTTTTGCATCATTGACAAAATTATTGGTATTGAGATCTAGATTACAAAGCTTACAGACCTTGTTTTATATATCACAATATATCATTTACTATAAATATCTTTACTTGATTTAATTTGGATTAATTGAGAGTAATGGTTGTTTCTTATCACGTCATTTTTCTACAACAGCTCCGCCCGGTGAAGAGGATGAAGAGGAAGGTTTGCGGAAGGAATATGTGAAGAGCCAAGACAAGGAAGCGAATGCGCACACCGTCGATCGCAATGGCCAGAGCGGTTACAAACCATGGCGATTCGGTACCGGTACCAGCGGCAGTACGAGCGGCTACGCCAGCAGCGGCTCGCGATCGCACCGGGACGAAAGTTCGGGCTCGCCGTCGCAACCCAAGGTCATCTTCAACGAGGACGAGTACACTAGGATTACGACACCACGGCAGGACGTCCTCTTCAAGAAGGGTTACTTGTCGCGCAAGAAGCCCTGGGCTGGCAATGCGAGTACCAGCGCCACACCATCGACCACCGAGAGTCAATCGGCGTCACATTCCACCGCAGGTATATAAGTGAAAAATCAAACAAATTCAAATCAAATATTATTTTTTAAGATTGAAAAAACAACAGAATATGAAGAACCAAATAAAAACCCAAAGGCAGACTGTAGCTTCAAGAAGAATGTCAACTTGCAACCAACTAAATTAAGATTATGACAAGTCACTATTCTAATTTGTCACTCAATTAGCATATTTCTCCTTGACAAGCGATACTTACCTCTCTGCAGCAATGTAAATTTAGAGAAAGTCGCTACGTTAATTCACTGTCTTGTCGCTAAGAGTGTATTTGCGATGTTGCTAAATAAATATACGCTCGAACGACGTTGTGTGTCTTTGCAGACGGCAGTGAAACTACGGAGGATCAGCAGTTATTGGATAGGGATAGTGGAACGGGAGAATATCCGCCCATGGTAGAGCCGGGAGCGCAACTAGGATATGGAACGTTTTACGATCACGCGAGCGGCTACTATTACGAATATCCTGTGATGTTGGTCGGACCTGCGCCAGTACCTGCCCAAGTCGGACCGAGTGTCTTAGCAGCTGTACCTTGCGGCCCGGTGCCTCTGAGGCCGATCGAGTGGATCAACCCTGCCTTCGTGCCTAAACTTGCCAATCAACCATACTGCTTAATGGATTATCAAGTAAAGTTCTCGTTTCTCACTACATGGACTACGATTTTACAGTTTAATCAAATATAAATATATTTAAATATTCGATAAAATAACGACGTAATTTCTCCGTAATTTCCGCTAATGGAGTAAAAATCCTGAGATGCAGAACTCTGTACAACCTAACATCAGTCAACACTCACATGGCATATATTTTTTGGGCACCATATAGAGTTGTTTTTGTCCTCGCTTATTTAGATCTCGTAAAAGTGCTAATCAAAATCTATAAATGTAAAAATTATAAATGTACTTTTAAGTCTGTAGGATATAGAATTACGTAAAGAAATGATCGCAGCTATTCACTTAAGTAATTCATTTTATTGCAAATATCAAGAGAAATGTGATGAAAAAGAAATCCAAATTTATCAATTTTTAACTTTACTAAATATAAATTTAAAAGATTAACACTCCAGAATTCTCTTGTCGATCCTTGAATCTTTGAGGAAAAAAAAATATATATTTTATTTTGTGGAAAAGTATTAAAAAAAATTATTTGTATGTACAAAATATATTATTTTTTCAGTCGAGAGATGAATAAAATTATTAATAGTTTTGAATTTTATTAATCAATTTTAATGCGTATTTTATTAAAACTGTTATAAAGATTCGCTATACCTTAATCTTCTTTTTGTGTGTTTCTTCTTTTCTTTATTTCAATCTTCTTTGCTCCGTTTTTAGAGTTTGACAGTACAGAAATCTTGATAACGTATAATATAATCAAAAATATAGTTAGCTACTTACATAAAATGTTTATTATATGTTACATTTAATGTGAAGGGCCGTGGTATAACGAAAAATAGTGTCTATTTTATACTTTGATATCTTAATGTAGCACACTGGAGTCAAAAATAACCCTAAAGCAACTTTGCCAACTTTTTGTCATATATTATATATATATTATATATTATATATTATATATAGTTATATATTATATATTTGTTTTACATAGGCAATTTTGAAATAGCGCAACAGTGTTTAAACTTTATATTTTTACCACTATAACCTTTTCCAGCACGTGAACCGAAAGTCCTTGTTCCAGCAACTTGCGGGTAATACAAAATAAAAAATTGGATAGTGTCAAAAATGACTCCAGTGTGCTTGATTAGGATTACACGATGATATACGATCTCTCAAATGTTGACTATCCATTTATAGACTAGTCAAAGCACAGAAACGGCCACGATAGTAGAGGAGCATAACGGCACGGTGATAACGGAAGCTCCCAACGGCATGTGGAACGAGAGCGGCACCGGTAGCGCCAGCTGCAGCGGCAGCGTAGCCGAGGAGATCGAGGAACAAGCCGAAGAGATGGATAGCGCGACGGCGACAGAACAACGGCCAAAGGAACAGTACGCCGAAGAACAGCAACACTTCGAACAGCAACCTCATCATCAGCATCATGAACACCTCGAGGGGCAACAGCAACAGCAGCACTTGGAAAACGGCAGCGTGACAACGGCGATGGAACCGTACTTGGACCCGTTGATGCTGCAGGAGCCACCTCCGATACACGTGTCGCACGTGGTGCCAACCGTGCCGCAACCGTACATGTATCCCGGCCACTACATGTTCGGTCCGCCCTTGGTCAACGTTAATGGTTAGTTATAGAGTCAAATTAGGGTAGCATACGGTCGGCGGTTGCCCCCTCCGATCGACGTAATGTGCGTGCGCGTGCTAATGGATTGGCAAAGTATGATTCTTGCTCTCAGCTGCTTGCATGAGCAGACCTAGCTATCTACCTACATTCGCCCCCTCGTAGCCTTCTGTTCTGTCACAGTCGAATGGACGGAACAATGAAACAAGTGTACGAATTAAAATTGCGTTTAAGAGAAAGAGGCACATTTCGAGGAGGGAGCGCAAGTCTCGGTCATAGGTCGCTTTGCTTTCACGCAACGACATAAATCTCGCTACGTGAAAAAAAAACAATTGTGCAATAACAATTAATAAACAACTGTGTCATAACTCGCGATATGCTTAATGATTGGAAATTAATTCAAATCATATTTACTGCACATAACGAAAACAAGAATATTGAAGGAACCGACATATAGAAATAGAATCGAAATTGGTTTATGTTGCATTTATTTATCTTGACTTATAAAATTATCTTTGATATATTTGACATATCTAATATATATTCAGTAATCCGAGTTCTATACATTTGAATTTTTTCATGATATCGCGAGCTAAATACATGCTTATCATAACATCCATATCAGCAAGTAAGCATGCTTGCAATTCTTATCAATGCAAAAGTTACTGAGACTAATACTCTAATATAAAACTGTTGAGAAAACTGTTTTTCCTCTAATGACACAGATATATACAATCAATTGCAACATGATAATATGAGGTAGCAGCACGAAGTGAGAAGAAACGAAATTATGATTAAGAAAGAAATTGCTACACACACGCAGTATTGTATCATTGTTCAAACGTATATCTATATATCTGTGTTTGTCTAATTGACGCTCCTTCCTCGTATTGCGCTACACTGCGCCGTAGTACGCTTGATTGTACCTATTTCTAATGTTAAACGAGAACAGTGTCGATCGGATGCGCGGCCAAGGAAAAGGGATATGCCCCGATTCGTGACTTCTGTCCCGTCCATCGGCATCATTGCTGTTTTATTACCGCCGTGCCTCTACCACACTCAAGGTAAAAGGTAATAATTCGCAACAAAGGTACCACGCTTTAGACATGATCGTGCAAAAACGGATATATTTCAAGCCTCTACGGTTACGTGAGACGGCATTTAATACGCGTAAGAACCGTTTAACGCTTTTAAACGATTTACCGGGAGAAACACCGAGACTTAATTCTATACATGTAGTTTATTCTTCACGATCGTTCCTAAAGTTTCGACTCTTTACACGCTCTCACGATGTCTGTCTTGATGCTATGACGTGTTACAACGTGTTACGTGTCACTAGCATAATTGTCAACTGACTTTTCACCGCTCTCTTTCAACTTCCGCACGTACCACTGCATCATTGTTCCTACATTGCACCTATCACAGTAACGAAGTGTATTTCATTCGCGAGTCCATTGACTCGCGGCTGTCGCACGGGAGGATGTCATGTGACCACATCTACACAATTTATAACGTCAGAAATATGTCTTGGCTGCGCGAGAGGCAAGACTTTGGCAACGGTGGCAAGATGTTGCTACATCTCAGATAAAAATAACACGCTGTTTTGTTCACTTCGACGACGAGAAGTCACAGAAAGCACAGAGCAGCAGCGAAAAGCCAAGTTCACTTTTCACGACCTTCGGCACCGCCGTTTCTGGCGTTCTTACATTTATCTACCGTGATCGTGATTGGATCGACTCATCCGGACAGGAACGAATATATCGCACTGAAACTTTACTTTCTCATTGATCGACTCGTTTATTAATCTGCGAAACGATAACGCGCAACAATTTCGCTTGTCCAAGGTGTTACCATCCAGGGCGGGCCATTAGTGAGAACCATGGACATAGCGGCTATGACAATGGCGTGCGCCAAACGAAGAAAGAAGAGAAAAAAACGAAAGCAGAAAAGACCTACTTTGGTAAGTAATTGCCGGGACTCGTCTTAAACTATAGACGTGTACAGAGTGTCCTAAAACAATTTCCAAAGTTTTCACGGAAATATAATACGAATTAAGGTGAATATAAAAGTTGAATATCGTTTTGCCATATTCGTAATAATCATCGAGATATTAATTAAGGAAGATTTATGAATGATCACGCGAGATATAGTAAATGAGCTGTAATAGCGACATCTACCGTCGTGTGTTTGTACATAGGAAGCCATGCAAACTATGTCAGATCTAAAATATAAGATCTAACTATGAATATCAGTATAATAATATTAAGATTATGCACTTAAAAATATCTTAGAATTAGTCTTGTACATTTTCAATATTAGTCATAGATAAAACATAGATAAAATACCTACATTTTGCTAGAATTTCGGGAAACAATTCGGGAGATCAAACTGAACAAAAACGTTCTCTACCTTTTTCCTAATGACTTTGTAGATTTTTATTTTTTATTAATTATAGAACGTTATTATATCGCGAGTGACCACTTGCCAATCTTTTTTAATTAATAATTAAAAATCTACAAAGTTATTAGAAAAATAGTAGAAGACCTTTTTGTTGTTTGACCTAATGTATAAGTACAATGGCACACGATGTCACTGCAGCCCATATCGCATATAATTATTTACAAATCTTCTTTAATTAATATCTTGATAATTATTGCAAATATCGCAAAACGGTATAGGACTTTTATATTCATCTCAATCCGTACTATGTCTCTACGAGAGCTTCGGAGGTTGTTCTGAGACATTCTGTAAATAGACACTGCGCATTGCTGTATCGTTGTGATTAACGAAATCAGCATTAGTAGCAATCTGTGCCCAGACTGACGTCAGATTGGTGATAGATTCGAGCAGAATCTGTCGACAGATGCACAGACATCTGCATCCCAATCTGCTGTTAGATTATGGACAGAGGCTGCTGACAAACTCTGACGGCAAATTGGCGGCAGAATGCGCGCAGATCTTGCTGCCGTTAGAATCTGTCAGTAGATTCTGCGAGCAAAATATATCTCCAATCTGCCGTCAGAATCTGATAAACAGATACTGTGTGCGATCTGGTGCCTTTCTGTCACAGACACTGCTAACAGACTCTATATAAAATCTGCTGACGCAGGTTTGGCTATCTGAGAATAGATTCTGCTGCTTGCATTAACGCATACTGAGTGTCTAATAAAAGTTGTTCATAATCCGTTTTTATATTTCTTGAGGCCGTCTTAAATATATCTTCAAATATTTCTTAGTAAAGTGATCAGTATAACATATACAGATCGTTTTGTTAGTTAAGAAGTTTTTGAAGATGTATTTAAGATGATTTTAAATATAAGAATAGAAAATGAACAAACCTTACTGCGCACTAGTGCAAGCGACCGAATTCGCTATAAAAGAGGACAATGGAGAATAAGATGCTTTCTTTGACTATTTTATATCAATTGTCCAATTGATGGGAAAAACAAAGGGAGAGAAGCGATCACACGATCAATGCGTTCTCCCTTTCTTTCATTGTATTTAACTCTCTTTTGTTTCTCCTCTATCGTCCCTTTCTGCAGTACTGTGTAACAGAGAAAGCAATTTGACTCAGCACATCTCTATTTTTAAATTATCAGTCGACTCGTAGAAATTCTATTTTATAAATCCGCAGTCCTTATTCTGGACCAACTTTTATCAATAAGAGAGTTTACAGAAATGGAACATATGCTTTGGACGAAGTAAAAGCTCATTTCAAATACATACTCTAATTGTAAAACATCCAACACATAATGTAACAAAATTACATCGACGTACTCGTCATACTGGTGCTAACAAGATCGTGCAGAATGCAATGCACACGATTGAAGTTTCACGCCGTTTAATCCACTTTTTATTGTTACATTCAGGGTAATACCGAAGATGAGGAGGAAGGAGAGTACAGTTCCGAATGTGATAACGATTTATCGTCTTCCCGACTGCCTTGGTCGGAGTGTCCGACCACGACCACGATTACAATGACGACGACGACGACGGCTGCGAATCCTCGGCCGCTCAATCCCGAGTGTCAGGAATTTCAGTTACGGCCGGCGCTGCAATCTCGAGTCCTCTCTAGTCCCGTCTCGACGTCCACCGTGTTCGAAAAGGCTACGACGTCTGCCAACGACGCAGCTGGCGTATCATTAGCCACCGTCGACGAGACGGTAGCCGCGAGCCTCAGTCGCGAGGCTGACGAGGTGTACGACATCTCGTCGTCGCAGAGTCCAACGAACCCGGAAGACACGTCCACGACGATCCACGACGGCACGAAGCAGCAGCTCGTCGCGGAGCAGACACCATCGGAAAACGTTTCGCAGTCGGTGATTTCAGTTGGACACAAGCCAAGAAATAGGAAGGTCGAAGTTAACGGTCGCGTAGATTCGATTGAAAATACGAAAGCGGCAACAACGAGTGAGAAATTGTTCGCGGAAGCGAAGAGCGACAACGTGCCGATCGATGTGATCGATGGTGCGACACTCTCTGGCAGAACCGATACCGTTGAGAACGGTAACGATTCGACTATGGCCGACGTGCTGCAGCACGATCTGCTCAAAGACAACGATAACAACGTTAACACGGAGTTACTAAACAACCATGTCGAGTGCAGAAAAGTCGAGGGAGCTTTGACCAACGGCGAGGTGGGCTTCAAACACCTCGGCGAACCAACAGAGCAGATGAACGTTTCCAAATCAAGATCGGTGAGTCCTCAGCTCGACGACGCGCTCACCGATAAATTATGTCCAGATCCAATCGTATCTAATGCGAAAACAACAACGACGAATATCAACGCGCCGGAAGAAGAGGAGACTTATCAAAGTTCTCATCACTGTAATAATTCATCCGTCGCACGAACAACAACACCGTCATTAGCGCAGCCGAGGAAGTACAGCAAGAAAAGCTCGAAATTCGTGAGGGAGCCCACACCTGGGCCGGACCTAGATGACCAAGCGATGCGCTCGGATGTAGAGAATGGCAAGGTCGTGCAACAGCTCGAGTCTGTCGAGCTGTCGTACGACACGCGCACAGCATACGCAGAGCGCGACCACGTTGCTGATACGAACGACGTGCTCGACCGGGCGGATCGCGAGACACCGCAGGATTTCGGTAACGACGACAGCAAGACTAAGACAACAACAAGCCAAGACACGATCGAGGGTTCCAACGAGGATTCCGGATTTGAGAGTCAGACTCGATTGCCGAAATATCCGATCACGGCCGCGGTGACGGAGTGGCTGCGTCGTGCCAACTCGCCCGACACGTTGTTCCTCACATCGGCGTCGGCTTCAGACAGCGAAACGGACGAGGAGGATGACGATGATGAAATGAATGCAAAGCCGCCAAAAAACTTGCAAGGCAACCCCATGCCTGCACTATCTGCTAATAGCGGCGTCGACAACAGCGTTACTACGACGTTGTCGCGCACGGCTAGCTGCGGCGAATTCGCAAAGTCCAACAATAACAACAACATCAATAATATCAGTACGATCGATCGGGTGGAGACGCATGGCACGTCGGTGATTGGCAGACGCAAGAAGGACACGGTAAGTGCAGCGAGGAGAAAAACAGCGGCGGCAAAGAGGATCGACAAGCGCAACAACAGAAAAGTCGATGATAAAACACAGAAACAATCGGTCTCCTCGTTGGTCTCCTGTCACCGGTTGGAAAATGTCGTCGGCGCCGCGAAACTGAAGGATCCATCTAAGAGCAATGTTGGTAACATTTGCGAATTTACTCAGGAGGATAGCGTTGCGGGTATGAGGGTTGCTTTAAGTTCTCGGATAAATTCGAAGAGAGTCAGCGCAAGACGAACAAAGACATCGCGTAGAATCAAGAGAGATCCCGTTGAGAACATTGACATCAGAATGCGGCGTATAGATGACGCGCAGAACGGTGAAAACGGCGACGAGACGCAAGACAACAGCGTGAGCGTGCGGACGTTTGAGAAAGGGGAGATCATCGTCTCAGAAGACGGTAAATTGTTACCGACTTCCTCGTACGAGCCAGTTCCGTCCGATGATCGAGATATCCTAGAGATGATGACAAAGACTTCCACCGCCGCTCGCGCCGTCGACATGATCAACGAAAACATGCAAGAAACGTGCGAGGAGGAGACTAGACACAATAGTGAGAACGATGAAAATCTGATGATGTCCTCGGTCAGCATAGAAGAGCCCGACGTGTTGGAGTGCTGGGAGGCGGAGACCATCGAGCCCGTAATCACGCCGAAACGAATGCTGCAGAGCCCGGGTGTCCTATGCGAGGGTGAAGCCGTGGAGGACGATAATTTCGAAGTGGAGAAGGCCACCGTGGAGCACGTGCGGAAATACTACAGACTGGACAGCGCTATCAGCATCGAGGAGGAGTCGAGCGAGGTAAGCACTCGCTCGATGGTATCGGTCCCGAAGTCGAGAACAGTGCCAAATAATCCGGAGAAAATGATCGAGCGTCTCTACGGCGTCGAAGAGATCCCGATCGTCATGCCGGACAAAAGCCGGGACATTATTCTGGGAGACGAGCAGATACCTGTCGACGAGGCATTCGAAGCGTACGAGAACTGTTACATCGGTGGGAAATCGCCGTTCCCCACGCCGTTCAACTCGAGGATGTTCAAGCAACAGCGGCCGTTGCTTCAGAACGGCGAGGCTCCGATACCATGCAGAGCGGTGTGCTGTAACATACAATAATGACGGAAGCAAAATCTCAGACATGCCCCGTCACACAAACTATCAAAATGGAGAAAACGCGGAATATATTGTTACAATATAGGCTATAGAAGACAAATAGCAAGAGTTCCAAGCTATGCTTCCCAGCTTCTGCTTGATGTGTCACATGTGTCGGAAATAAAGTTTACCGACATAAGAGAATTAAAAATTCTGTGCTTCTTGCTCCCAATTTTTTCCGCCATTTTAGTGATAATTATGTTTTTTGCTGTACGCAATTTGTAGAATTTACTAAAAAAAGATATCGAATTTAATAGATATTGAACGTCCTCTTTAAAGACAAAAAAAACAGTTCTCCGGCTGGTTAGTTAAACTGTTGTTAGTTAAACAACTGACTAGCTGGAGAACTGACGGTGTTCTTTATTTCTAGAAAAGATGCCAATGGATCGTCAGATCCTCTTTCATCTCTAATTTGTTGTTAGTAAGGTCTATAAATTATTTACATATTAATCAAGACTTGTACTGATAATAATGATTATAATAGCGAGGTAAATTACGATAAAAAGCACAGTATTTTTAAACAAAAAATTCTAATTAAAGGCCTTGCTGATATCAAATCAAATAAAACGTCAAAGGTCTTTAGGAGCTCTTAAAGACCCTTGACTTATTATTTGATAGTATTTTTCATTATCATGTAGATAAACTTTTATTTTTAGCAACACTCAGCAACAGCACTTCAAATAAAGGCGAGATAGCACAGCTTGAATATCTTCAAAACCATTTAAGTTTGTCGGCCTTGGTTTTATATATGTACCTCATACGGAGAACTTCAATAATGCCTTCCTCTTCCGGTAAGATATAATCGAACGCCTCGTATCTACACAGTTTTGTATCATGATTATTGACTTCCAGAAGAAGCAACTTGACCACATCAATCACAATATGCACAACAAATGCATATATACACTATTACTGTTAAAGTTAATGTTACTAAGCTGTCGATTCCTCTGAAAACCAACAGTCGTGATACAAAAATATATCGCTACGATGCGTACGAGTTGAGATGCCGTAACTGGAAATGGTAAGAATTTTTGTGTGGGTAAATTTCGTTTCCAGTGACAATAGTACTCCAAGTAGAAGCTGGAGAGCATAACTTGAGACTCTTGCAGGCCGCTTGAGTTTGTCGGGGCCTATAGAATGTATTGTAATAATATGTTACTACGGACTCGCAATGATGAGGCCAATCTTTTCCAAATAAATCGTTGCACTTATCCGGATATATCGCGCGGGCACGTGTACGTACACTAGGCGCATACGCACCTCACGTTGTTCGAAATCAATTAAAAAAAAATCACCTTAGCCTCATCGGGCAGAATCTATTAACAAATCGTTGTTCTTTCAAAGGTCCAATGAGACACGCTCAAGAGGACTGAACGATGGTATTTTGAAAGCGCATGAATTGCGACCGGTTTTTTGTAAATAGTTTTAAGAGTTTGCTTGTGATCGTATTTCGTGGAGAATCTTCAAAATTTTATGTATGAGAGGCATGCATTGTAGTTACTCTACGATAGCATTTTACCTATCATTATCATTAACACTTTGACTGCCACGTCACCCATATCTGGGTGATGCGTGAGTTTCCGGAGAGGCCTCATTTCTTGTTAAGATGCCTTTGCGATGGATCCTTTCGCATGGAAATATGTATGTTTCATAGTTCATACGAAGACGGGGAGGTAGAGTATTAAGGTTAAATAAGAACTCAGGCATATATTGGGTACGCATTGGATAGTAGAAATTTATGCAATTATCCTTTCATCGGTGCAGTTGGCTTCGAGTTTGACTGTACACGGTTGCACGTAGTGGTCGGAGAATTTGAGCCCGGTGGGGCTCACGCTCGAGTCCAGCGTGGTAGTCAAAATGTTGACAGCATTGCCGTGTGTCATTGTTCATTATAATTGTAAAGGAAAAAATTCGTAATGTTCGACGTCAGGCTTTTATCTGGACCGAGCTTATCAAAAGGCAATACGTTATTTTCTCTGAACATATAAGAGAGTATGAATTTGATTTAAAATGAAATGGAAAAAAATAAGAAAGAAAGAGAGAGAGAGAGAGAGGAAGAGAACATATAAGAAGAGGCATATAGAAGAGTATATGCCAGGCTGTTATTTTTAACATTCTTGCTACGATATCTCGTAACGCACTTTGCCGAAGTGACAAAAGCATTATTTTTACAACCTATATAAAAGACACGAGTGTTATAAAAGACTAAGAATTATTGTATCACGTTGGATGGCCTTCGCTTAGGGAAGTTTCAATCGCTCACAATTTATTGAACTCAACGTCATCAGAGTAACCCGCACATTTACCCGTCAGATTTAAATTTCCCTTTTGTTTTATTTCGTCCTATATATTTTTTTTTTATTTTTCTTCTGTGCTTTCCTTTTTTTTCTTTTCCTTCGTCGGAAATGGACACATATGTATTATAAAATGAAGAAAAACGACAGAGTCGAGAGAGGCGTAACACTTATGCTTTTAAGTAGCATACGCATTAATCATGCAGAAAGTAATATCACGTTTTCGTAGGAGATATTATAGTTGTAAACGGGCGGCGGTAAAATCAGTGAGCTATATTAGACCTTACCTTAGCTGTTATTAGGAGGTATAAGAATGAGATGTATATAGAGGAAGCTTATGAGATGGTTAAAGAGTAAATCCATTCGATCGGAGATCTTGGGAGACTAAATCTGTTTTTGTTCTTTTCGTTTCTTTTTTTATTTCTCCAATAAGCACCGATTTCGGTGGACTCCGAAGTCGGACGAAGCGCACCGCAAAAACGCATTATGTGTACTTACACACACGTAAGAGCTGCACTTGTTAACGACATAGTCCACGCTTTAGTTGATTTGTGTCAAAGATAGAGAGAGATCGAGAGAATTATCGTGTCTTAGGCTGCGTGTCGACGTGAGTCGACTGATAGACGTGGTTCGTTCGTGAAAAAAAAGTCATTATTCTACATATATCTCATATCATAACACGCGTTAACATACCTCAGAGAAACGTGTAAATAAAGTAACGATCATCCAAACGTTAACGCGCAAGACACGAAATATAATGAATGATAATAAATACTAATAATATTAATATATAACGATAATATACAATAATAGTGTTGGTCAATAACGGATATAACGAGGGAAGAACGATTAATGAAATCTAATATCACGCAACAGCGATACATAGACACCATTGTTCCTGCAAAGCTATAGTTTCCTTAAGCATGATATATATATGTCATAAATCATTTCCAGGATGATCCGTAGCTCTACGAAAGGCGTTCGTTCACACCAAAAATACATTTAAAGATAAGTACGAATATATATCGTTACATTAAAAATGCGCGTTGCATCAATTGTGTGCCTTATTCTGTGGCGGCCGTTTTTGTAACTATTTCAGAGCACTCTCCTTGATAATAGTCAGTAGCGAGATCGAAATGCGATTAAGACTTGTTAAAATTGATGAGAAGCAAAAGACAGATTGATAGGAGAAAAGATTTTGCGGGAGGCTCGCCCGCGCGTCGCGATAATGATCCTTATCGGGACATGCACACAAAAAAAAGCGAACAACTCATTTAATTCCTTTTCACGAGATTATACCGACCTGTATTCGTCATCGGACATGTATGTACAACCGGCATGCAATTATTCATAAAGACATTAAGGCGTTGCATCTTACACGAGTCATATTACTGTACAATTATCTTAGTTGAAGTTAACACGTACGGAATAAGTATACTTGAATTTTGTTGTGTTTTTGCTTATAAAAATATAAATAAAATGTTTCAATTAAATCAGCGGTACTCTTGACTCACTTTCGACAATTGCGCTCGGATGCGTAATCGCTAAAAGTAAAAATGTATATGGCAAAATGTTAAAAAGAAAATGTACCACTGTTAAAAAGAAATGTTAAATGTTAAAAAGAAATTTTACCACTGCGCTTTATAATATCTTATAGTAGTAATATTTTGCTACTACTATATACCCAAGGAATGCTAATGCGCATTCACTGCATTGGCTTCGAAACCGCATTAATTATTTAAAATGCACTCAAGTTAATCCGATATTTACGAATTTCGTAATAACAAGTTTTATAAAATGAATGAATAATTTTTTACGTGATACATCGTCAAACCACAAATTATTGCTTGCTTACAAAAAATCTGTTCTTTTTCGTAAAACTTCCTAAACTAATATATACTGGTACAAAAAGCTTTTTCTTTTTAGTAAAGTAGCTGTATTAGTTTAAGAAATTTATGCACACTGAAGCATAAGAATGGGTGCTTCTTATTGAAAAATTCCAGTTGAAAACTCAATTGGGATTCCTACTAGGTATTTCGCCTACGTTTCCTAGGTGGATTTCCTAATTGGGATTCCAAATAAGTTTTCCTCACATCAATAAAATGTTGATATCACAGAATGCCATATATCTGTAGTTGATTCAACATTTGTCAATAATTTAATAAAAAATAATGTTAGAAGAACAACTCATACAGCACAGACGCTTGCAGCAACATTACTGCAACATTTCAATATTGTATATTGCAATGCAATGTTGCAAAAACATTGCAGAGATATAAATTCACAAGATATCAGCAAACAAGGTATGTGAAAAATATTTTTATATCAGCAAACAAGGTACGTGAAAAATATTTTTTTGAATACGTTGCCATAATGTGCATTAAATGTGAACTTAATGCGTGACAAATATGCACTTTTAATATTAATTAAAATGCACATTTAAAGCGCATTGGCGCTCTTTGGGTACGCACAGAAAAATATCATTCTACTCTTAAGAAAAAGTGATATTTAGTTTACTTTCTTTCCTTCTTTTATAAATTATAATTATCTTCAACAAGGAAATACTTCTGTAGTCTTACAATAATATATATATTGTACTTATTGAACTTGTCGAACTTATAGTACAATTCAATAAGTTTCAATATATATAAATATATATATATTTTTTTTATCTGATTATACACGATTTTGTATTCTATAGGAAACTAACGATAGAAATTCTATCATTATCTATTGTATTCTACTGCATACGATAGAATATTATTCACATTTTTGTAAATTCACAAACCAAAATCCATATTTAAAACGATAGAAAATAATTATTTAACGATAGAATTTCTATCGTTAGTTTCCTGTAGAATACAAAATCGTATATAACCAGATAAAATATGATAAAATGCGATAGGATTCATATCTGAACTTGCGAGCGAGAATGATACAACTTAAAGAAAACGATTCAAATTGATAGCGCTATGAATCATATTTTATCGTATTTTATCTGGTTATATACGATTTTGTATTCTATAGGAAACTAACGATAGAATTTCTATCATTATTGTATTCTATTGTATACGATATTGGATTCGATATTGTATACGATATTGGATTGTATTCACATTGGATTTTTAAGGCTTTCGCGGTGTCTATGCATATTAGATTTGGTTTCCGGATTAGAGTCGCGTGGATTCATCTTCGTTTGATTCCAACATCTCAGTCCGCTTCATCAGGGAGGAACGACCCGATGCCGAGTTGCTCCTGAGAGGTCTTCCTTTATATAAGATATTTTTTCGTTTCGTGAACACGATACGTTTGGTTGGTTTGGTTCACTTAACGCTCGCAACGCCTCGAGCAAAAAAGATAATAGGTTTGTTCGCATCGTATGCCCCAACGTGCTCCTAATCGCTCCAACGCACTCTGATTGACCACGTCACCACGCGGACCAATCAGAGTACGTTGGAGCGAATAGGAGCACGTTGGGGCATGCGACGCGACAAATCTAGAATGGCTGCGTTGTTGTTGACCATGGTCTTGGAGCAAGTCCATCGACCAAAATGGCTGCGTTCAGCAGAGAAAGCTGCTTTGCAATTGTTGTAAAATTGAAATGAATCTAATTGGTACATGCTCTTGGATTCAACCAAAATTAAGAGCATACTCCAATTAGATTTACAACAATTGCAAAGCAGCTTTCTCTGCTAAACACAGCCAATGGGCGCATTCAGTAGAAAAAGCGCTCAGTGAGCAATCAACGATTATTGGTTCTTGCTATTAGATCCCTAAATCTAGACCAATTACATTGACAAATTACTCAACTGTTGTGCAACTGTTGAGTCTACTGAATGCAGCCAATGACGTTCGCAGTGTTGTGAGCGTTAAGTGAGCGTTAACTAACCAACCAAACGCTACCGTGGTTACGGAACGAAAAAACGCCTATAGTAGTTGGCATGGTGTATATCAGTTGGACACGGAGCAATTGGACACAGTCCAATCACAAGTCGCTGTTCTAAGGGACCCTACAAATGTCTCTAATTACACGGTGCTGTGATTGGCTGTGTCCAAATGCACCGTGTCCAAGTGCACCGCTCCCGTTGGCATAGGGGGAGAGGGGGAAGGAGATAGTAAGGTTACGCGACATTATGCCGAAAACTAGATGAGGAAGATGTTGGTACCAACGAAAACCCCTGGGGAGCAGAACATTAAATCTGTGAATTGGCAACATTATTAAAGTTGTAAATCTTCATGAGTTCGCGGATAAGCAATGGCGTAAAGACATTAAAGTCAGGTGCTTCCAGCCACATATTGAAGTCTTGAATGAGTTCGCGGAGTCTCTTGACATATACGTGTGTACATATATATAAAATAATAAACAGTGTAGGACGAAAAATGCACAGAGACATTTAATTAAAATTAAAAAATAAGTAAATAAATAAAAATAACACGAATAAATAAAAATAAAGTGCATAGAGAAGAATAAGGTGAAAAATATAAGAAGATCCTCTTATATTTTTCAACTTATTCTTCTCTATGCATTTTATTTTTATTTATTTGTGTTATTTTTATTTATTTACTTAATTTTCAATTTTAATTAAATGTCTCTGTGCACTTTTCGTCCTACACTGTTTATTATTTTATATATATGTACACACGTATATGTCAAGAGACTCCACGAACTCATTCAAGACTTCAATATGTGGCTGGGAGCACCTAACTTTAGTGTCCCTACGCCATTGCTTATCCGCGAACTCATGAAGATTTACAACTTTAATAGTGTTGCTAATTCACAGATTTAATGTTCTGCTACCCAGGGGTTTTCGTTGGTACCAGCATATTCCCCATCTAGTTTTCGGCATAATGTCGCGTAACCATAAGGTTTAGTGCTGTAAATAGTTCTATTTAGTGCTGTAAGTGCTTCAGAGCGACGAATGGATCAATCACATTGCTTTATTTAACGTTTTAAAGTATTTGCAATATTAAACGAACCCTCTTTCTTGACAGTTAATAATATAGAGTGAGAAAACACTAAGGGCAAATCAACTTTCTCACTCTGTTTTAAACTGCCAACCGCCGGCTTCACTTTGGCTTGGTTTACATCGTGCATTTGATACTAAATAGGGAGTGCTTTCCAATTGCTTAACACATCTTGACACACACGTACACAAAACCAGTTTATTGGTCACATATTATCTAAAATATCTTGTAAGATAATATGCAACCAATAAACTGGTTTTGTGTAACACAGTGTACGCAACTGGAAAGCACCCAGTAACTTTCTGTTAAATAATCTTAATATCGACGATATATATAAACAACGGTATATTAAGCTGGTATAATACTCATCAACAAAACATATTAATTGAATGCGTCGCCGTTAATATGCGTTGCGCCCATTCAATACTACAATCGCTCACTGAACGCTCAGTGAGCTCTTACATCCCATTGGCATATTCTTTTAGATCTCAAAATATATACCAATCAAATGTAAGAGCTCATTGAGCGCTCAGTGAGCGGTTGTAGTACTAAATGACCCATTGGCTTGGTTTACATCGTGCACTTGATACGCGTACTAAATAGTAACTTTCTAGATAATCTTAATATCGACGATATATATAAACAACGGTATATTAAGCTGGTATAATACTCATCAACAAAACATATTAATTGAATGCGTCGCCGTTAATATGCGTTGCGCCCATTCAATACTACAATCGCTCACTGAACGCTCAGTGAGCTCTTACATCCCATTGGCATATTCTTTTAGATCTCAAAATATATACCAATCAAATGTAAGAGCTCATTGAGCGCTCAGTGAGCGGTTGTAGTACTAAATGACCCATTGGCTTGGTTTACATCGTGCACTTGATACGCGTACTAAATAGTAACTTTCTAGATAATCTTAATATCGGCAATGCATATCAATAGCGACGCATTCAATTAATACGTTTTGTTGATGAGTATTATATTAGCTTAATATACCGTTGTATATATCGTCGATATTAAGATTATCTAATAGAAAATTACTATTTAGTACGTAGTATCAGGTGCATGATAGGTGCTTTCCAATTGCTTAACACATCTTGACACATATGTGACACATATGTGACACAGAAATGTACAAAGTGTAACGTTATGCGCGATTCAATTGGAACAAAAGCTGTGTTCTTTTATTTGCAACAGATGCAGCCGATGTCATTCTATCTTTGTTTAACATTCAATAAAATCGAAGGATAACATGACATCAGCTGCATCTGTTGCGAATAAAAGAACGCAGCCAAAGTATGTACTAATGAGTATGTATATCGGGTAAGATTAGGATTACTTTCAACTATATTTATATTTTGGTATTTTTTAATAATAAATAACAAAATCTAAATAATAAAAAAGATATTATCCACTTCACGTCGCAAATGTCAGTCTCTTTTCAAGCCGCTACGCTTATTAACTTTAATTGTCACTATAAAATACTAGTTTACACAGCCGACTAGAAGCCCTCGAGCTAAGTAGGGCTGCGTTCGGAAACACACTTTGGCTGCGTTCCGAAATTTATTGCCAGTGCTGAAATTCTATAGTATACGTGACATGAATTATAGATTTTCAGTACCGGTAATGAATTTCGGAACGCAGCCACTGTGTGCACACTACTAGACGATAGCCGTTGAAGTGAGCGAAATACAAGAATGAGATAAAAAGAGAGGGAGAGTACTCGAGTGACGTTTCCGAATGCAGCATACGCATGTGTAGTGTTGTGTCGACGATTATGACAATTGGAATGCAACTTGTGTCGCCATGTGTATGAAAGTGTCTAGGGATACTGCAATTGGAAAGCACCCGATGTAAACCAAGCCATTACAATTTAGGCCCAATCTACAATAGATGGAGTAAGGAGTAGGAGTAAGAGTAAGAAATAAGCAGTAAGCAAATTGACCAATTCCATTCTCACGTTTCAAAAATAGCCGATTGTGATTGGTCTTACTTACTGCTTATTTCTTACTCTCACTTCTACTCCTTACTCCATCTATTGTAGATCGGGCCTTACAATAGGGCTACGTTCTTTTATTCGCACAGAGCAGCGATCATGTAACTTTTCCCCTAGGGCGGAAACGTAAAAAGTGAAAAGTTTCACGTGAACTTGTGATCACGTAAGGGTGCTATTTCACGTGTCGTACGACAAGCTTTTCGGATACGTATTGGTTGGCAAATAGAGTATTTCTAGGTTCTCTGTTCGTCAACCAATGAACGTATCCAAAAAGCTTGTAGTACGACACGTGAAATATCAGCCTAATGGCTCTCGCAGCCAGCGCGATTTGCGATGCGACACGTGATATGCGATGCGCGATATCCAATGAGCGTACAACTTTTCCGGAATACCAATACGCTCATTGGATATCACTCGTTGCATATTGTGTGTCGCGTCGCGCATCGCACTGGTCTGCGAGAGCCATAACTCGGCGAAACGTGGGAATGTGAAACTTTTCACGTGAACTTGTTAGCTATGAAATGTGCTGGCGGAAAAGCTAGTGACATGATGAGTACGGAATATATTATGTTACTGCTGTGATGAGATACAGAAAACAATAATCCTAAGGTTATAGCGATGTTTTTAAGATTATATGTTCTACAGTTGATGGATATAGCTAATTTGGCCGATATTGAAATCATATAGGAACCATGTTTAGTAATTTGTGCTTTTCACGCATAGAGTTAAGGGACGTCTACATTGGAAGTAAACAGTAAGAAGTAGGAAGTAAGAATAAGAAATTGACCAATCATAGTTAATTATTCTTCTCACATTCGACTGTAGTTGGTCAATTTCTTAAGCCTATTCTACAATTGCGTGAACGTGGTTGTAAGTAGTTGTAAGTGATTACGACAACCAATCAGAGTAAAGTATTCAGTGAATAAAACATTCGGATTGGTTGACTCTTACGTTCACGACTACGCTTACGCAATTGTAGAATGGGCTTTACTCTTACTTCCTACTTTTTGCTATTTACTTCCAATGTAGACGTCCCTTTACTTGATTGCGTGAATAATGAAAAAGTTCACGTGAAATCGATAGAACGAAAAGTGAAAAGTGAAAAGTTCCGCTCGAAGTTACGTGATCGCTGCTCAGATGCAGCTAATGTCATGTTATCCTTTTAAATTTTACTGAAGGATTAAACAAGGATGGAATAACATCGGCTGCATCTGTTGCGAATAAAAGAACACAGCCTAGGTGTAGTAAGTTTTAAGGCGTAAGAAATTAACCAATCACAATTGATTATTCCACTGTGATTGGTCAATTTCTTAAGGTTTACTACACCTATTGTAGATCGGGACTTATAGCATGTTCGACTGACTCTGGGTTAATCCACTCTGGGTTATTCAGTCTACGTTTATTGGTTGAACAAGTACTTATAAGCTTTATGATTGGCTAATAGAGACTTATGACGTCATTAATCGCTCTCGGAGTGATTAACCCAGGGCCAGTCGAACACGCTATTAAACTTTAAACCCTAAGCCGTAAGAAATTGGCCAATTACAGTCGATTATTTTTCTTATAATTGATTGTGATTAGTCAACTTCTTATGGCTTAGGACTTGAAGCTTAAATTTTATGGCTTAAGTTCTCATTGTAGATGACACTTTACGTAACATTTAAAATATTTCAGTTTAATGAATAGTTTCATAGTCCTATGAAATATATTAGAAACATTTCAAACTAGCTAAATATCGAAACGCAACTACAAGAATGTAGTATGCACATTTCCTAGGAAAAGATCCCTAGTATAATCACTATATTATACTCGCGCTGGCAACAAGACGTCTCGAGTGCCGGAGCTCGCGGAGAGCGAGGAAGACAGTTGCGAGTTGGAGAAAGAGAGACAGAGAAAGAGAGAGAGAGAGAGAGAGAGTCACGTCGCACACGAGCGGGCGTGTAGCGGCTGTGACCATCTCATATATAGTACACGCGCGCTGCACTCGGCGAAGGCTGCAAGCGTATGTGCACGTATATACATTCGCATACACATGTGCATATGTATGCACCGTACGAATAGAGCGGAGTAGCGACGTATACGCACGCGATAGGCGTACGCGCGCGCGCGTTGTGCACCTTCTCTCTTTCTCTCTCTCTTTCTCTTACATCTATTTCCGTCTCACTTCTCGTCGCGACGCTTCGCTCTCTCTCGCTCCCTCTTGCCGCGCCGCGGAGACGGAGGGTGGCGGCGGGCTCGGAGTGAGGAGGTAGTGGAGCGAGTGCGAAAGACGAGCGAGCGAGCGAGCGAGCGCGAGCGAGTGCGAGCGAGCGCAAGTCGGGAAGCAGAGCGCGAGCGTGAGCGGTAGAGCGGCGGCGAGTGTGTGTCGGCATAGAGCGAGCGAGCGAGCGAGCTAGGCGAGAGCGCGTGCGGTGGTGGTGGTGTGACGACTGGTGCCGTGGACGGACGGACGGACGGGTCGGTCGGTCGGTCGGTCGGTCGGCGGTCGGGCCGTGGTGTGTGGAAGGACGAAGGAAGGAAGGAAGGAAGAAAAACGCGAGGAGGAAGTGTGCAAAATTCGCAAGTGCGCGCTGTGTCGGCGGCGGTGAGAGAGGAGAGGAATACGTTGGGGATTTGTGTGAGGGCATAGCTCGCTGGTGGCGATCCGAAGAAGGGAGATTATCATCGTCGCCGCCGTCGTCGTCTCGAAGGGGACTCCACGGATCAGTGTGTCGTTGGGATCTCTGTCTGTCTCGTTCTTTTTTCCGCGTTCACTCTCACACGCATACACACTCTCTCCGTCTCCTTTTATCTCTCTCTATCTCTCTCTCTGTCTGTCTTTCTCTGCCCCTCACTCTCCGATCGTCGGGGGGCCTGCCGCCGCGAGGACGTCGAGGGAACGACGACGCGTGGAAGTTTAACCGGGAGAAGAGGAGCGTGTCGTGAGGAGCACAATGTCCGACCGGGAGAGCCTGGACGATCAACCGCAAAGTAAGGAAACAGCCGGGCGAAGAAGCGCCACGACCGTTCTCTCTTTCTCTCTCTGTGTCGCCGTGTCTCTTATTTTCCGTCTCTTTCTCTCCTGTGTACTTGGTCTCGCGGCCGCTATGCTTCGGCGGCGTCGCGCCGAACGGACGAAACGTGCGCGGATCACGTCGCGAACCGACATCTTTTTTCCCCGTGGCCTATCTCCCACCTCTATCTCTCTCTCTCTCTCTTTCTATTTTGTATCTCTCTCTCCCTTTCTGCTTGGTGCTTGGGTGCTTCTGGTGCAGCGCGGCGGGCTCGCGCGCGCGTTAAACCCAGAGAGAGCAGGACGAACGATCGCCCGCCTTCTCGGAGCATCGGGAGAGCTAACGCGACGAGCCGTCCTCCCCTGCCCCCTGTACCGCTTCCATCTTACCCTCGTTGGCCACGAGAAGGTCCGAGGAAGTGAGTTATCGTGACGAACCGCCGCGAGAACGCGTGTACGCACATATGCGACTTTCCGCGTCCTCGTGGCCGGTTCTGTCAAGCGCGCGCTGCGACGATAATCGCTATTTTTCAACGGCACCCAGGATCCAAGATGGCCGGCTGCGTGTCGGCCGAGAGGATAGCCCCTCTCGTCCCTGCCGTCTCGCCCACATGCTTCGCTCTCTTGCTCCTTTGGCCGCGAGCCTTTACCTTCCTTCTCCCCTCTCTCGCTCCCTTCCCCCTCCTTCCTTCTCTATATTTGTATGTGTCTCTTTCGCGCTTTCCTTTCGTCTCCTTCGCACGCACGCTCTTTCTCTTTCTGTCTTGCACATCGTCGCTCGGCCCTCGTGAGTCGAATATTCGCAACTTCCGACGTTGCCGAACGTCGCAATGCCGGTTCCTCTATGCGGCGCTCGCTTTTCTTTTTTTTTTCTCTCTTTCTTTCTCCTTCTCTCTTCTTCCCCATGAGCCGGTCTTGCGACTCGAGTACGAAATCTCGTCTCGTCGTCGTTCGATCTAATGCGCGGATAAACGCGCAACATTACGCGATAAACGGGCGGAATCGTCCCAGGCGTGCGGAGGAGCGCGCGAGTGTGATGTAATTCAGCTTCGATCTACAGCTCTATCTACCTATCTGTCTACTAAGCGGCGCGCATGCACGCAACGGTTTGTCCGTTTGAGTCGGCCACGAATCGTGCAAACTTCACTCGACGTTGAGAACGCCTCAACGCGCGAGGTTAAGCTACATCTCTTGGGTGCGTTTGTGGCACGCCCCGAATCACGTAACTCCGTGTGTTAGGACATTCATAAAGCCGTGTGTTTCACGGGCGAACGTAGGGGGAGGGGGAAGAACCGTTCTTCTCTCTCACAGCTCGTAACGCCGCGTCTTTTGACCTCGAAACCGAAAGATCAACGAGCAACGGCGCGTGGCTCCGGACAGATATCGCGCTTTACATTTTCCGTATGTCGGAAATTTGGATATCTATCTCTGTCTCTTTCTTACTATCTTCCCTCGATTCTCCCGTGGCGACACGCGCGCACATCTTTATCGCTCATAACCTTATATTTTTATACCTCTTCCCTTCGTGAGTCGCGCGACATTGACACTCTCTTTCTCTTTCTCTCTCTCTCTCTCTTGCTCTGTCCTTCGTCCGTCACACATTTTGCCGATTAAATTAGACTTAGCGGTTCTAACGGAGCTAGCGAGTATCCACTAGCGCGGATTATTCGCGGCCTGGCACAAGACACTCGCAGAAATCTCGATGGAGTTTGTAAAAATTCACGTGAGCTCACATATCGAAACCTGTGGAACGTTGATGAATTCAAATTTCGATACTGCGCACATGTGTCGATATAATTTTTACATATATCTCCTCTCTTTTAGTGCTTCTCGCACGAACACGTTTTGGGGGAGAGAAAGAGAGAGCTGATTTTCTCGTAAGATTGTACACGTTTGCTACGAGAACTGGTTGATTAGCGTGAGATGCCTTTTTCTCGTGACTATACCATCGAACATTGAACTCTTCAGAGTTATATCGGTTTGTGGGTTCTCGAGTAACATATTTTAGTCCTTCGAGTAACGACCTCGTTCGTGGGTTACGGCAAAATCTCGTAACCTGCCGTCCCCACTTGGACTCCACATTTAGTATACTATTCCGGAATTTCAATATATCAAGTTGTCCATATGTTACTGTGTGTGTGTACTTGAACTGAAATTTTATTCCTATCGTATTACAGCAAATATTTCGCCCCGTTGATATTCCATCACAACGACATTTTGCTGCATATATTCGGGAAACAGCAAATATATAATTATATAACGAAATTATAAAAAAAAAAAAAAAATATGAATATATATATATATACATACACACACACAGCAGCATAATAAAATATACGTCAGCAGCGAGTTGCTATTTTCACAGTTGCCTAGCAATATGTCATTCTGTTAAACGTTTTTTCACGGCCTATCAAATTACGAAAATGTCAGTCGAGAGTGGAATGTTATTTATTGCATTTGTTACGCAATTTTCAGCGAAATTCTTTCCACTGAAAATAGAACTTCGCTAACTACTTTTTCGCAATGTCCCGCGTATTTCTCTATTATTAATTGGGTTTACATCGATGTCTTTCTGTTATTCATTAATTAATACTGATTTTATTTGTTTTGCCAGAATATGGAAACCCTGGCGGTATGGATGCTGGAGGTGCTGACTTCGATTCTGGTGAGTATTTGATCGTATTAGTCGTACATAATTGAGAAGATTAATTGAGAGGGTAAGTGGATATGAAGAATATACACACACACACACACACACACATATATATAATTATATTCTTGCGAAACTCAAGTTATCCCTGCTCATTCAAAAAGTAACGCGGTAATAATCTAGTTATGAATTTCACGTTCTGATCTCTATCCACATTTGCCCTCTTAATTGTTAAAATATACTAAAGCGCGACTACACAACTCAATTTGGAGATTTATCGGGTAAAGTTCAGCGATATTTTTGCAACTTATAAATCTTATTGTGTGAAGATATTGTAGATAATATAATATCTCTCTACCTCTATTTTCTTCATTCTATGCAACACAGAACGCCATCTTTGACGATCATTACATAAATTATCTTAACTTGTCGCAATGCAGAGTGTCCTAAAACTAACGGAATTTAAACCATCTTCACTATACATTCTTCAGTTGGAATAGATTTTTTTTTCATTTAAGTACTGAGGCACCAATAGTTTCTGAGCAATTAACGACTGAAAATAAGGAAACTTCATGAATCGCAGTTATAAAGATGTATAATGACTAATACCATAAAATGCAGCAAATTATGCATACACCCTATACCCATTAAGGAAAAGTCAACCCTTAAAATTTTGTGACCACAGGAGTATAAGCAAATATTTGACACTGTATCTCAATATTTGCACAGTACAGAGTACTTTTCACATAGTATAATGAAACAAGACAGTGATTTATCTCTGGCAAATTAATTATCATTCTTTCCGTTTCTAAACATACCCATTTACGACAGCAAATTAATTATATTGAACATCGGTAACTGACAAGTAAAATTGTGATGAATGAGTGACAACAAAACCATGGTAATTTATCTGTATTATCGGTGGACACACTTTGTGATAAATTCCATTGCACAACTTGAATGTCTCACAAACGTTGTTTGTCTAATAAGGCCGTAAACGTAAAACAAGGGTGGAATCAACTGCATTCTGTATCAATCCTAATTATACTCTGAATAGTTTCACAGTATTAATACATTAAAAAAAGATATAATCTTATCCTTAGAAGAATCCTTTTGAAGTTATATACTAAAGCTATATTCAAGTAAATGTTCATTTTTTCAATTATTTTATGTTTTTATATCCGCAAATCTATTGTAAGTTCATCACAAGCATAAAATAAATTGAAAATTCTGTATTCTGAATCATATTAATTTAGCATTTTACAACCAAGAATATAAAATTAAAAGAAAAATTTGATTTGTTTATTATATAAAGTCAAACCAATTTTTTTCCTTAGATAAAGTTTTATCATATTTTTTTTCTTAGATAAAGTTTTATCATATGTTATCATATTTTTGTAAAGAGAATAAATTTTTTTTAATACACGATAATAAGTTTTTCTAAAATTTGTAACGAGTATATTAGAAGATTATTATCAAGAAAATATTCTTTGTTGAAAATAACCATTATTTAAGAAAAGAAAAGTAAACCGAATAATCGCTTTTCTTAACAGAGCAGGATGATGATTTTTTTTATACATATAAAAGAATTCCGCTAAGGATGAGATTATATATATATATATATATATATATATATATATATATTTTTTTTTTTTTTTAGATACATTAGCCTCTTTAGTAATGGTAATTGGTAATTTAAAATAACTGCGTGATTCCCCCAAATGTTTTTTTTTTAATATGCATATCTAGGTTTCTTTTTTCTTTATTATTATTTTTTTAAGAATTTAGAAAATAAAATACAAAATATGTCTAATTTCTATCTATATTTACTACAAGTTAAAAAATAGTTTAAGTGAATCAAAACAAATTTAATAATTTACAATGAAACTTTTCCGGATATAGCACTTAACTTTTTGCCACCCGTTGTTGCCTTGAAGCAACATTTGGTTTAAGTCGATACAAAATAATCGATATTTTTCCTCACTAAACTGTCCAAAGTTTTTGAAAACTGTCTATCATCATTCTAAGTGAAACTTAGATCTTATCACTTTAATCTTAAACGATAAACTTTTATCTTATCACCAGTTAGCAATAAAAATCAGTGAATTTTCAGCACCCATCTTCTCCCTTATTTCAAGGCTGACAGGTCCACAAGTAAGTGCAATTTATTAATATTGCACTTGCTTATCATAAAACTAATCTATACAAAACATCCTCGTGCATTATTACGATGTATGAAAAGTATAAAATTGTTATTATGCAGAATATTGAGAGAATATGCAGAGTTTGCACTGAAAGTAATGCAGTATATCAAAGAATTATTTCTCTGAGGCAATGTTTTGATTTCTTTAAATATTTGATTGAAAAATTATTTAAAAAGTTACCATCTCAACACTGCTACAAACGATAACAAATAGAGAAAAAATATTTCTTACGAATAGAATTAATTCGGGATTTAAAGGGTTTATTTAATAGTTTAATTAATTATTATTTCTCACCTTTCTTTCTCAAGAAGCGTTTTTGTCGAAGCATATATGTGAAAACAATAATTCTAACTAATAGCGTTTTCTACTGGAAAACTAGTGCGACACTAGTGCGCACTGAGTGCAATTTTATTATTCCACTGTGAAAATCAGTTCATATATTTTTAGCGTTTAATGTTCTATTGATAAAAGTGGTGCAAAAAAATTATACTGAGCATCTTCAGAGATACTGGAATACCAGTACAAATTTATGATTATGGTTTAAATTATGATTTGGTGTTTTAAGGTATGTGATATTACGTTTAGGGATATTTTAATTAATTTCATAACAACTTTGTTTTTAGTTTAGACATCTATAATAGCTACGTAATGACATTGACATTTTGACGTTTAAAAATTTTGAAATTTTGAATAAATAAATCAGGATATATTATTGTAAAATAAATAATTTAAATTTGTGCAATTATACGTGTTTTTACTATTAGATGAAATTATAAAATGCCAAACAAATAGATGTATAATTAAAATTATTGTCTTCAGCTAATATATAATAATAAATATATGAATGAAGTTTTGTTCATATATATATATCGCAATTTCACGTAAAAAAATAAAGAAATTATGTGAAAAATGTGATTCATGAAATGACTGACAACAGGTAAGTTAAAATTTTTCCGCATATTTTAAAGCCGCATAAAGAATTCTTTATTTTTTCAAGTTTAAGGAAAGATTTCGTCTAACAAAGCGTTCCGCTGAATCACACTAAACACGCGCTATTATTGCACTAGTTCAGTTTTCATTGAAACCTAGCGGAGCGCTAGTGCCGCAGCAATTTTCCCAGTAGAAAACGCTACCATACGACAAGTCGGTAATTCCGACCGTCACGTTCTCGGCATCTCGAGAAGCCCGATGTACGCGATATTCAGCACGGGAGGGAAGAAGTGGCATCTGCTTCGGATGAGAATTTTCCCGGACATCCGCGAAGCGGATTCGAGCGGAATCCGAATCGGAGTGCAGCGTCCGGAAGCGGGACACGAGACGCGGCACGACGGCAGTGGGGCGCCGGTACTAGAGCGCAGTCAGCTGGTCGTGACGTCACGCGCCATGTCGTCCGTAGGCGCGAGCAGCGCGCGAATGGTGGGGGCAGCCGCCGCGCTGTCACGTGATTTAAACCGCGTAGTCACGTGGCGGCGTATCGCTCACGGATGCGAGAGCCGGCGTTGGACGGGCGCGGATTGGCGGCCGCGCTTCGCCCGCCGCCACCATGATACGCGCGCATTCCATTGGCATGACGGCGGGCTCCATGAATGACCGGCACGTCATTCGCGTACGATTTCGTGTTCGGCGATACGTCGACATGCCGTTGCCGCATCGCCGCCGCTCGTACGGTATTTCGCGGCAGTTCTCGCCGATGTATAATGTACGCGAATATAAGACAACGACGACGTCGGCGACGACGACGTAAGACGCGCGATCGCGCCCCCGTACGAAACGCGATGTGTCATAAAGCACGGTGACTACGGTGGCTCGTTGCCTCAGCTTTTTCCTGCTCGTCGTCCGGCCACGCCGGTTTCGGTGCATCGTCGCCTCGTGCTCGTTTCCGCGAACGCTTTCGTGAAACGTTTCCTCGTAGCGCGCGCCGTTACCGCGGATTCGAATCGGAAACCGGAGGCGCGAGCTAGTCACCGGTACGTCGACGTGTCGACACGTGCGAAAGCGTGTGCTGCTCTCGAAAATCGCGAAACCGTTGTGCTCTCGGTGTTCTTTGATGCTCTGTGATTACGTGATTTCTTTATGTGTGTTTCGTCCGCGATTAATGCGTTCGAGAAAGTGACGATTCTGCATTGGAAAAAAGAAAAAAGTAAAAAAAGAAATTGAAGATGTGTAATGAAATTGTTTTCGCATGAAGCTATCTTCGTGGAAAATTACTGAAGATAGAAATATCAATAGTGGTCTTCCACTTTCCTTCTCTTTCTCTCCCATCACAAACTTCATTGATATTTCTCGCCTGGGATAATTGCTCTCGTTTTGAGAATAATTGTGGAAATGTGGAATGAGAGTACATATAATATTTCGTTTGTATGTAGAAATGCGAGTGGTATTCATGCATTTGAAATGTAATTTCTCAGCGTGATTCGCATTGCATCTACTTGTTTCTCTCAACGCATATTGTACTTTTTTATCAACTTTCTGCAATAATAATCACCGCGCCGAAACATGTATTATTACTCTTTTAGCTATACACGCTTATTTTTCATATATGTACTGGGGACTTCAGCCAGTCTTTTCATTCTGGTGCTCGAGAAATTTATCGTGTTGTGCTTATTTTTTTACCGATCGTGAATTAACTAAAAAATAGTCTAAAATCATAATAACTACCGGAAAGGATGCGTTAAAATCGATGTATACAAAGGATACAAAGGATATATTAATTACTTGTTGATTACAAGAAAAACGCCATTTTACTATGATTGCTTGAAAACTTCATAATTTCTTTGCTAATAGAGATAAATAAATTATGTTTTTCTCCAG